GTTCGTCAGCTTCCAACTTCCCCCTCCCTCCCCCCCTCACTCTTTCTTCTCATCTTTCGCCTGCGCGCACGGTTCTTCTAGTTTAGATTCGCTATAGCGTTATTATTTTTCTTCGTCAAGACTGCGATAAATCCAAAGAAGGGACAATTCGACTAAGGGAGCTTGCGATCGGCAAGAAGGGAAGGTAACTCGTTAGCGCGGAAGAAACAGAAGCACATTCCATTCAGTCAGCGAACGTTCGGTCGCTGCGATTCGCGAGTCGACCGACCGACTAGACTCTTCGAGATGAGATTTCGAATTAGAAATACAGAGACGCGAGATTGACGCGTTTTCTCGAGGACGATACTGCCCCGCCGCGCCGGAACGAAAACAAATCGAAGGTAAAGTCGTTCGATCGGAGAAAGAAAGGGAGAAAGAAGGAGTACACACGCCGTACCGAGCGGGGGGAAGATTTAGGACGAGAGATTTGGCGAGGGCACAGAGTCTTCCGGAGATCGTTTCCAATCCGAAAGGCGGGTAGTTATTTCGGGCTAGGTGCTACCGCTAACGAGAAGTAACGCCTAAACGATTCAGCGCGCCTAAAACCCCGGTAAAACGACGCAGGTGTTTCGCGTGTTGCGCCGGGCGAGTAATTCGACGCGCTAATTTGGCGTCTCGTTCACGCGACAGCCGATATATCCCGAGAGAGAGAGAGAGAGAGAGAGAGAGAAAGAGAGCGCGGAGAGGAGGATGAATCGACGATGTTTAGGCCTAAGAGAGCGGGACGACGCACGCGCGACGATACGAGCGGAAACGCGCCAAACTGAGACAGGCTTATCGATGACCGGAGTCACACGACGGTGATCGAGCGAATTACGACCGATCAGGACACAGGAGGAATCATTCTTGCGGTAGAATAAAGGAGGGAGAGAGAGAGAGAGGGGTGAAAGCGCGTAGACACGGAGGTGAGGTAGAGCTATATCATGGGATTCTCTAACGTGTACATGTAGAATTCGTCGTAATATGCGCTAAATACAAACTATATTTTTAACTCTTTAAAAGTAATATTTTGAACTCTGTAAATATATTATATTCGTACGACACACACACATCGATAACGATGATATTCTCCTGTTCAGATTTTATAAAAAGTCGGCATACATAGGTATCTCGCGGATGGGCAGAGCAGTGCCACGGATCCCTCTTTCGCTCGTCTCTCACTCCAGCCGACTTGCCGCAATTATTCGCGCGACATTGCCACCCGCGTGCTACGTCTTCATCATCTTTCTTCTCGAGCCGAAGGAGAAATTTGCGTGTTTTTTTTTTTCTTCTTTCCGTTGTATCTCCACGCGACCGGCCGCATCTCGCGATTCTAAACTCTCTTGAAATGCTTCCGTATCGTCCGGTAGACTCACGAGAGCTTGTTACACACAACACACTGCTCTGCTCCTCGGTCTTTAATATATCCGTATTAACAAATGTACAAGCAAGAAAAAAAAGAAACCCTAAAAGTTGTTCATCGTAACATATTCAGGTTTAAATCTCAGCGTAGAAAACGAGAAAAAATGTTGATGTTTTATCTGTAAGGCGAGAGAGAGAGAGAGAGAGAGAGAGAGAGAGAGAGAGAGAGAGAGAGAGAGAGAAATGCCATAATAATTAACGAGCAAGTACAAATTATCATGGAAAATATAAATTATGTCTACGTCTAACTCTTAGGATGCGTAGTACCGAAGAGTGGGAATATTTAAGGGAAGCGCGATATAAGGGGGAAAGAAATAATACGGAAAAGATGTGCGCCTCGGATTTCATTCGTGGCTTGGCAAAAAGATAACGAAAGAGAAAAACAAGAGAGAGAGAGAGAGAGAGATAGGGTTGGGGGGAGGAGGGGGGAGAGGGTGTAAGGGTAAAATGAAGGTGTAAGCATGGGTTTCCAAACATATCTCCGAATGTGAAGTATACTGTGAGAAAAATATACGATTTTAGATATTTAGCCGTCTCCGCCGAGAGATTTTATAATTACTACGTATATACATTCTTAACGGTAAATCGATTCCCGATGACGCTTGGTCGGGGCATAATGTGGAGAGAACGATGTCGATGTACGAGATTCGCGCGAGACTTGCGTTCTACATTTTTCTTTCGTTTCGCCTTCTTTGTATTTTCTTTTCTTTTTTTCCCCTTAAAAGAGTCACTTTCGAACTAAAGAGTTGATGCGTGCGATTGGTTAGTGAGAAAAATTTATCCTAGTCATTTCGGGAATTCTTATGATTCTGTGATATCGGGCATCGCGTTAGCACACGAGATTCAATGAGACTGGGAGAAAACAAAGAAAGAGAGAGAAAGAGAGAGAGAGAGAGAGAGAGAGAGAGAAGGGGGAGGAGAAAAAGACCAAACATGCGCGCATGTTCCACATTATGATCGCCGGGCGTACTCTCGAAAACTTGAATCTACGAAGGAGAGCAAATTGATAAAATTGATTATTAAGTAATATTGGGAAATTTCTGTGATGTTCTTCGGTTGGTATACTAGCGCGACTGCTAAAGCTATGCGAACGAAAAAAATAAGTATACGGAATTTATGTCGATGTTCGGTGTTGTATGATGTACTGTAAGAGCCGAGACGTATCGGGAAAATTCTCTTTGTATTACTTCGAAATTCTCAAGATAGGATTGAGGGTAACGGTGAAGTGATAGGTTACTGCTGATCGATCTGAAGAAAAGAACAAAGAAAGAAAAACACATATCGTTTCTATCGACAAATAATTGTCCTCACAATAGTTGGGTGCGTACGTGTCACATGTGTACGTATGTCTGTACATATCTTACTCGGTCATGCTCGACCGTTTTCTACCGTTTGTGAAGTTGGGTGCACTCGGCAGTCGAAATTTTCGTCCCCTTCGTTTCATTCGCATGACCTACCTGCGGAAAAGAATTTCCCTCGCGAATCTGAGAAATGGAATTTCCCTCTCGTCTACCACGCGCGATAGTTGCGTTTCGAACGATCAGCCGTTACCAATCATCCAGAATAGATTTAGTCTAGTGTAAACGTCTAATAACGTCCGCATATGCGTGTTGCTTGGATAAGTGCGCGCGTATGCGTGTGCATACGGATGCGTTTGCCAGGTTTATTTGCATACACATCGGCATGCACGCGAGACACGTAATTGCTGCAGGGTAACGACCCATTTGCGCGCCGAGGCGAACGCGAGTGAGAAGAAAGGAAAAGGATTGGAACGACTATAGATTATTTATCGGTATGTGCCAAGGTTGCTCGAACCGTTTACACGGACAAAATTTTTAGATAGAGATATCGTCTCTCCCGTCTCTCCCGTCGACGAGGAATATTATCAATATTAATACTGAATAAGGCTAAACGTTTTAGAAATGTATCAAAGGTACGATATAACGAGAATCGCGTTGGGGGGGGGGGGGGGAAAAAAANACGTATGGATCTTCCGTTTCCTATGTTTTATCGCAAGTGAGAAAAGTGTCAAAAGCGAGAAGAGCGAACGAGCGATACGGCGAAAGTATCTTCGATTCCGCTTCAAAACATATTATTCTTTCATCTTCTTTTTTTTCATTTCTCTTTCATTTCTTTGCCTTCCATCCATAGGTCTCTTTCTCCTTCTTCCTTTCTCACCTTTTCTTCTTCTCTTTTCTTTACTCGCATCCTGTGTGTAACGTGCATGTATATAGATACTACGATGTGTAAGAAACCGCATATCTCCGACACGGGCATGAAGATTGAATGTAACTTACAGCGACGTTACATAAGTAACTACGTTTGTTATCGCGGCGGTAGGATACGATATATGTGCAAAGTTGGTTCGAGAACAGCGCGAAAAGATCGTAGTGTCTCTTTCCGCGGTTAATATTTACTTAAAATTACTCGTTCTCGCGCGCAATTTCGCCTGTCGACCGGCGATAAAATGGTGCAATCTCATCGTCAAGCAGGCTCTATAATCTATGTTATTATATTGTATATCGTAACCGTCGAGAAAACAGGAGCGTTCTTCCGGAACGTTTCTCCTGATGTTTATATATACACACACATACACATATATATATATATATATATATGTATGTA